GATAAATTTTTGCATTCTAGACATCAAAATTACTGCTCAGATGCTCTCAGAAGGCACTAATTAAAAAAAAAAATCTTGGGTGAGGTCCCCAACGAGGTCCCCCAAACCCCCCAAAGTGTCCTTCGACAGCTTTTTAAAACACCAGAAAAAGTAAGCAGGAAAAAGTGCCCTTTATTTCTTCCTGGACACCCCCTTTTCAAAAATCCTGGATCCGCCCCTGTAGTATCAGTGTTGCATGTTCTTAGTTAATTATACCATCATCCCTAGCCAAACAGCTCATCTCTATCACACCATATAAGGTGGTTCTCTCAAGATCATTCTATCCGATGTGCATTTGCTTAGTATCTCCCTCCATTTTCCATCTCCAGGAATCGCGTGGGAGCCCTGTGTTTTACCTGTGTTTTACCTGTGTTTTACCTGTGTTCAGCATGTGTTCTGCCTGTGTTCAGCCTGTGTTTTACCTGTACATGTGTTCTGCCTGTGGTACCTGTGGTAGACACTATTATTGTGGATCTGCTTGTGATCGCGATTTAGATTGGATGCGTGATTGGATGATCAGATATGTTGCTGTACATTGTAGATTGAAGTGCTCAACCAGCATCTGTTTTTGACTGCCAAACCTGTCATCTATCTTGTCAATCTATCAGAGCGAGATTACATCAGGAAGAAGAACAAATGGTGAGCAAGTGAATCCGATCTATGTTCAGGTATCATGATGCAAATATATTCATCTTTGTTTTTAACTGCCAAGTTAGCATGACACATTTGCGAGTGATTTAGCAAAACATGCATCAGACAAAAACTTACAGGAGGTTGCAAATTGTTTCTGGAGTTGCTATGCTAACTATTAGTTTCCATGCTAACTATTAGTTTTCATGCTAACTATTAATTTCCATGTTAACTGTTATAGTTTCCATGTGAACTGATAGTTCTCATGCTAACTGTTAGTTTCCATGCTAACTGTTAGTTTCCATGCTAACTGTTAGTTCTCTAACTTTTTTTTGACAGGCTTTTGAAAATCAAGGAGTGGGTTGACAAGAATGACCCTGGTGCCATGATTATCCCATTTAGCGGTGCGTTGGAGACAAAGCTCCTGGAGATGGCAGATGAGGAGAGGGCCCCCTACCTGAAGGAGGCAGGATGTACCAGGTGAGTGTGTGCCCACATGGACAATATTATGTTGTTTGTGCACCCACGCGAAGAGTGATAGATTGCGTGTGTGCTCACACAAACAATATTAAGTTGTTTGTGCACCCACGCGAAGAGTGATAGATTGCATGTGTGCTCACACAAACAGTTTTGCGTTGTTTAATTGCGCACCCATGTAAACAGTGATATCTCATTTTTGTACACCCTCCATGAGTGTCATGTTATCATATCTACTCGAGCATTGTTTATGTCTTTTCAGAAGAAGTTTTTTATTCAGAGATTTCCCATCTGATAGAAGCACGAATAGCATGCGTCGTAGAATTAGGGTTGTACTAACTTCTGTGAAACACTATGTTTAGTACTGGTTCCATGGTAGTGGATGTATGCTGGACAAACTCTGGAGTTGTGATTAATTACAACAGACGATAATTCACTGAAATATTTATTAGTGTTATTCTATACACTGCACTCTACATATGCTTCTGTGCTTGTTCAGCCTCGTTTACAGGAGTTGGGGACAGAAAATTTCCTGCAGATAGTCAGCATGAGAAATATTTATTATTTATTATTATTTATTTATTAATTTAAAGGCGGTACATTGGTAAAAGATGCTTACAAGCTCATCTCCGTCAGTGTAGTGAAAAAGCAGTTCTTAATTAAAAGTGCTAGTATAACAATTAACTGACAAGCAATAACACTAGGGCAGTTATAGGTACTCTAAGTGTATGTACTTTTATTAAAATTAAATCGCGCACTCTATATTATAACATTGTACAAGGCGATTGAGTTCCCTTGTCCAGTTTGTCCTCTTTTTTGAAGATTGGCACAATCTCTGCTTTTTTAATTCTGTGGAGAAAACAGATTTCTGTTAGGCAGGTATTAAATAGTGTAGCCAGAGGTTGGGCAATGTGCGCATGCTCAGCTACCAGCTCTGCGAAGGTTGGCTTGATGTGGTCGAGCCCAGCAGCCTTATTGGGTTCCAGTGTTTGCATGGCTTTTGTAATTTCTTCTCAAGTGACGGGCCTAAAGCTAAAATTTGAGCTGGGCTTGGCTTGTATAGCCGAAACACTTGCTGTGAGTGTTTGTTTTTTGCCAATGTTGTTTCCTATGCTAGCTGCGAGGTTGGTGTAATGAGTGTTGAAAATTTCTGCAACTTTATTTTGATCTGTGACTAGATTGCCGTTTTCCTCCTAGATAACTTCGCATAGCCATGCTTGTGGTTTCTCAGATATTAGTGACTTTATTGTCTTCCAGAACGGCTTGTTGGTAGAAGCATGGCAGCTAGGGTGAATTGCAGTGAGGTTGAGACAATGTCGTTCTGAATTGCAGCGCCTTGGACAAGATCATTACACATGGCTACAAGCAATTGCAGCTGCAGTACTTCTTTACCACGGGCCCGGATGAGGTGAAAGCTTGGACCATCATGGTATGATTGAGTCAAATAGTGATATATTGCCGACAGCAGGTGTAAATTATTACCCTACGTATAATTGTGCTTGATAATACATAATGCAGAGATATATGCTCACTTCTGGGCGTGAATATGAGGTATTTACTAATTCTCTTCTGCTACCCATCGGGACAATTTAGGTCGGTGGAATATGGTGCAAAGTTTAATGAAACGTGACGAAAATTATACACCAAAGGTGGACGGTTGTTAATTTTTGTAGAAAAACACAAAGGCTCCCCAGGCAGCTGGGCGAATTCACACAGACTTCGAGAAGGGCTTTATCATGGCAGAAGTGATGAAGTTCAATGACTTCAAGGAGGAAGGGACGGAGGCAGCGGCGAAGGTAATTATATCCACCTCTGTGATCAGGCACATATGATGTAAACACCCTATTATTTACATAGCATTGCTATTTTTCTTAGTTCTGTCACAGTTCTGGTGATTTTAAGCTGTTACTTAATTAGCTTACCATCATAAATAATTTGTATAATCTCAGTGGCTTTTTTCGTGTGATGCATTTGTGAAAGTTTAAAGCATTTATTACTGGTTTCTGATAAACCATGAACTATGGAATTGGCAAAATGAAAACGTTGGTTCTTTGGCCGTAAAGTTGGAAATGGTGATTTACATTCACCTGTGAAGTGGTTGTGTTTTGAACATTATATTACACGACGTGTATCGGACACAAATTATCTTGCGGCTATATTAGAACAGTGCATATTGCACAATATATATTATACACTATGTATTGCGTACTTTCACTTACATTTTGTTTCTTGCACAATTCCTATTGTCACTCACTGTTATGGTCAGCTGAGTGACATGAGACATGGCTTCGAAATATCGATAGTGAGAGAGAGTATGCTTTGATTTGACAGGCAGCAGGCAAGTACAGGCAGCAGGGCAGAAACTACATCGTAGATGATGGAGACATCATTCTCTTCAAGTTTAACGCAGGTGCTGGCTTGTCAGATAAGAAGAAGGTGAAGTGAGGCATGCAGGGGACGTGCAGATCTTCTCTCCTGGTTGAACTGTATCGAGCGGTGGCACGGTGTATTGTGTGCGCCAGGTCATAACCGACGCGTGTCTGCATGGGCGTGTGACCACTCCTGCCTTCATCGTCCTTGGTGTGTCATAGATGTCTGAGTGAGTGTTGATGGCAAGATGTGCGGTTTGAATCTTTGTTACGATACCACCGTGGCGTAAGCGAGAGAACAGGTACATGCAACATGGGAGTGACTTCGTCCTGCATCCATAAAAACGTCATAAATGTGATTTACTTAGTGACAGTGCCACGGGTTTGCAACCAAAACTCGTGTGATTTTTTGTAGCTCTCGTACTACGCCCTAGAATTTTTATCAACAGGGAATATGGAAGATGTTCGTTCTCTTGTTCAATGTGCTGTCTGTCAAACTTGATTCTTCACTAGCGAAACCGTGTTTGAAATTAGCAATGAAATTCGGGAATAGCTTAGGAAGGGATGAGGGATTTGTTTTCATGAAACCATATGACCTCATTTTCCCTCCAAGAATTGGTTCCTTGCTCGTGCATCGATTGATAGTCTAGCCACTTGTTGAGTTTGTATTTTATTATTTGGATTAGTTGAACATGATTATGCATAACATCTGCGTGTGACTGGCAGTAGTTTTTCCACATGCTTCATGATTAGTGCTGCTTAGGCATTTTTATGGCATCAGTGTGACAATGACGCAACTTGATGGTTTCACACCAGCAGGGAACATACGTGGGCGTGTGAAACTTCTCGAAATAAAAGTAAAAGATTTAATGACGTGTATTTATTAATTTTTGTGTTTCACGTTTCGTTTTTGGTGTGGTGGCATATGGTTAGGGCTGCCAAGAGGCCAGGTTAACCCCTGGTCAAGAGATGATATGGACAGGATAAGGTGTCCCCATAGTCTAACAATATAATAATAATATTGTTAGTCTATGGTATCACTAATCAAATTTAAATCAGTCACTAGGTGTATCTAATGTCTAACTATCTGTATGTCCAGCTGTTATCACATGAATGAAGGAGAACATGAATTTTGCTGTAATTATACCTCACATTTAGAGAGAAAATACCGACCAGCCATTTTAATAACTGTAAGGAGCCTATTCGTTGCGAACATTACGGGAGCAAAGAAGGAAAACTATATTAACAGCCTAATATATCCGAAAGGAAATGGTATTTTCACTCACACACACATACCGCAGGCACGCACGCGCGCGCGCATATAAACAGGCACGCACACACATGCACCCATACCCTAGCACATAGAGTCGTAAACTCAGATGAGGGAAATCGGTCCTGTGACGCCGGGTCTGTATTAATTTTTGTGTTTCACGTTTCGTTTTTGGTGTGGTGGCATATGGTTAGGGCTGCCAAGAGGCCAGATTAACCCCTGGTCAAGAGGTAATATCGACAGGATAAGGTGTACCCATAGTCTAACAATATAATAATAATATTGTTAGTCTATGGTATCACTAATCAAATTTAAATCAGTCACTAGTTGTATCTAATGTCGAACTATCTGTATGTCCAGCTATTATCACATGAATGCAGTAGAACATGAATTTTGCTGAAATTATTCCTCACATTTAGAGAGAAAATACCGACCAGCCATTTTAATAACTGTAAGCTAGGAGCCTATTCGTTGCAAACATTACGGGAGCAAAGAAGGAAAACTATATTAACAGCCTAATATATCCAAAAGGAAATGGTATTTTCACGCACACACACACACACACCGCAGGCACGTACGCGCGCATATAAACAGGCACGCACACACATGCACCCATACCCTAGCACATAGAGTCGTAAACTCAGATGAGGGAAATCGGTGCTGTGACGCCGGGTCTGTGTGTACATGTTTGCGCGTATCGCATACAGAATGTGTTTAGCGAATACTCTTATGACATGTACAATCTGACGGATTTGAACTGCATATTTTTATTTTTATGTAGGCTATTATATTTCAACTATACGTCATTTTCCTACACGTACTGTTAAATTAGGCATACAGTATCAACACTGGGAAAGTAGAAAATTCATACCCCACTTGACCACTGCTTCAGACGCCCTACGTTCAGACTAAAGTACTTAGTATACGAACAAAAAAGAAAACTTTCATATTTTTTATAAAATAATACCTTTATTCAAGAGGAACATTTTTACAGATTATATTATTTTGATGATATAACTTTTACTATCAATGTATTCTCATAGGATATCATCTATAGTTGCTAGTAATATGCTATACTGTCTAGTGGTTACCCTCCCAAGTTCAAATGAAGACGTCTAGGTATGAAATGAGTGAATTAAATCAGAACAGTTATCTATCTCATCAACAAGTTCTCTTCCATCTTACATTAACTGCTTGCTTACCTTGAATTTAGCAACAACCTATATATATATATATATATATTATATTGAAATTAATTGATTAAAACGAGCTGATCAAATTACGTGAAAGAGTGACAGGTTTTGGAGTAAAATTAATGTCAATTTATGCACAACTGTTAATCTAAATAATCAATGACACAAATGATATGTAGTTGTTATTAATACACGATTGAAATTGGTCTTCTGCTAAGAATACCACACGATTGGGGCCATTGCTAACTATTATAATAGGACATACGGGTATAACAAATGTTTGGCAAAAATAAAAGAATGTCACAACGTTTGTTAAACCTGCATTCATACCAAATCAAATTAAGAAAAACTACATCTCTAGGTACAACGCTAATAAATTGCTGGTGCTTTATATGACAGCATCTAAACGTCTAAAACTGCCAAATCCTAGGCTGAAATCTGAAATATTGGCCAACGCGTTCACCGGGTCACCAGTAAGTATTAATGAATTCGTGAGCCAACCAAGTGAGATTGGGCGGAAAGCGGCGGTATCTCATAGAAACGTGGGAAACATGTTCGTCTATTCGACTTTCTTCATGAATGCTGGTTAAGCGCCCGCGTGACTGTTGTAAGCGGATTGCCAATCGAACATACACAACCAATCCCAACCATGAAAGGATATTTCTTACATAAACTGTAAACATGGTTTTCGGTCCATAAACTATAGCGGTCAATAAAACTACTCTCGGAGAACGATCACAAATTGCACAACCAGACATAAGTGATACGGACAGCAATTCGTGATGTAGCTCGACCAACATGGCGGCGAAAGCGCAGTACTACTTCCCGTTGATAACTCCTTTTTCAGTAAAAGGAATTTCGTTAATCTTGTGGACTAGAATTATCAGATGCAATGATAACAACACACAATTATGTCGCGTCATTCTACCAGCTGCCATTGTACCTCGTTCATTAGCCTATAGCAGTTAATTTTACACATTTACAGGAAGATTACTACAACTAAAAAATCGACACCTCATAATTCATTGTGGAAGTACGTGTCATGATCACTGGCAGCGCAATCAAGTCTGCCACCCCCCCCCATCCACATAACGCTCATGCTACAGTACACACACACACGCGCACACACATATGAAACTGGTGTTACACATAATATATATAT